CCCCAAAACCCCAAAACCCCAAAACCCCAAAACCCCTTTCTTTGTGTAATAATTGTTCAATTTAATACAAAATGGAAGATAACAATGGCTACCTCAAAGACTTCATAGAGTGAAGACGAGAAGTGAGGAAGGAAATGCAGGTTATTGAGTAAGAGCCAGAACTAATCCTTTAGCCACATCCTAGCGAAATATAATATTAAATAGCATCACTAATTTCTGCGAACCCTCTCTGCTGGAGCAACAGAAGGAAGGTACCAACGGGAATCCCTTCTGTCAACCTTCTATAAAGAGAAGTTTCGTTAGGTACTAATCCAAGCTTACTTGTAGGGAAGTGACACTAGAGAAAATCCAAAATGAAAATTTTAATAAAGAATACCTCCAAGGCCTTAAATTTAGAGCCACCCATAATAAAGAAGGTTCCCTTTGCTCACATGAAAGCTCTTATGAGTGTAAATAATGATAACATGATCGAAGCTGTGAGGCAAGCTCAGGAGTAAGACCTAAATTTCTCAACTAGGTTGTTAATCAGCAGTTACCTATTTAAGGATTTGCTAGAATAACTCTGATATTCTTTTAGGCATCAAGAAAGTATTGAAATCAGCAGCAAAGATTCAATGCCGGAAGAATTTGATTCAAGTGAAATCAGCGGGAGAGAGTAAGTCTATAATGTTGACTAATAGCATTACTCTCAGAGCAACCTATGATAACGAGCTGATAGGAGTGATGAAGGATTTGGATCTTGACTTAGCACAAAAGAAAATTAATGAAATGAAAAAGAAATCATACAATTGCAAATAAGTTTAAATGCAAGGGTAAGCCAGCAGTTATCATTGATTAGTCAGCAACCTTCTTAAGAGCAAAGAGAGATTTAAATTTTCAAAAGCGACTCAGACAAAGATGCATGGGATGACCAACAGCAGTTGAAAGGTAAAACTCAAAAAATAATCATTTACTGAAATTTGTACTTCAATTATACAGCACAATCATGGGGTTTTGGGGTTTTGGGGTTTTGGGG